TAAAATGAGTTCAAAGTCTTTCCATGCTTGCGTAGTTCTTTATTCCAAATGAGTCAGTGGGTTTCGAAATGGGTCAGTGGTCTCCTAAGATGAAGTCAAGGACATTTTCTTCTCATTAAACTCTTCACCTTTGCCTTGTTGGCAGGTTCTCTGGACCCTTGGCCATGGTCCAAGCTCCCCAGCCTGGTTCTGGCTGTTTTTGGGCCCAGGTGTAGTTACGGTTTCTTTGTCTTTACAATACCCCATCCTCCCATCCTGACACAACAAAGCCAAGAAAATGATATATTGTCTTAGATCTAACGAGCTCCATCTGCTAATAATTAACTTTTCTACATTGCTTCTACTCTCCTTGCTTAATTCTTAATCATTATATGTATTGCTTCTATCCCCTAGCTAAGCTCTTAACCCTTTAATTCTTTCAGACCCTTCATTTACTCCTATTTATCCCCTGCTACCACAAGCAGCTGCTGCTGATCTCCAAATCAATACCCTGTGACATCCTGGGTGATGTGTCAGTGCACAAACATTTATGAATTTATCTGATGAACACAGACAAAAGAATGAACTCATAGAAGAAAAAGTCACAAAAGAATTTTGGAGAGTTTTCACTAAAACAAGGAAGTTTCAATGAAAAGTAGGGACTAGCAGCTGGAAAATAAAGCTGGAAGTTTCTAAATTCTTGCAAATACAGTTTTAAGATTTTTTTTTTTTTTTTTTTTTTAGTATTTGCTTTCCCACATACAGTTGACTGCCATCTTCAAAGGCTTTGGGCAGAATGTCTGAGAAACATACCCTCTCCTTTTGAAATATATTGTCATCTCCTACAGTAATAAAGATCCTGCTTTTTCCTTGGTGTGCTCACAGACTCCAGGTCTCATGCTTGTTAAAAAGCACTGAAGAACTTCCCAAGGCTCAGTGTGTCTGTGGATTATGCTGTGGATGTTTCTGAAACAGATATCTAAAAACTTACCTACTTGTGATTGTGAGGGGTTAGAACTGAGGATCTATTTGATCCCTTCAGTCTCATGTTCCCCATCAGTTTGATCTTATAAAAATAACAACCATCTAGCCATAAAATAGCAAGGATTTTTTGAGCTACTATGTACACACATAGCATTTTCATTCATAAGTATTGCCTGATGTCATGAACACATCTCTTCAAGGAGCTGACAGAGGTAGGACCTTATCAATGGAATTTCAAATTTTATCCAACACAGGATGAAACACCACATGATGAGGGCAACTTCTGTATTGTTGCTGATTGCAGTGCAGAATGAAATGTGACAGGATTCAGTAACTATCCTGGTGCCTGACAAGTTACTTTTTTTTTTTTTTACTCACAAGAAACGTTGAAAAAGTGCTGAGTTTTGAAAGTACTTTTTAGCTGTTCTATCTTCATGCATAAGTAAATCATTGCGATGCAAAGTGAATGGTTTGGTGGCAACTCCTACATTAAAGAAAAGAGAATTTCTGTTCACTATCTGTCAACAGGGAGATCACTGCCATCTGAAAGAGGAATGTTTAAAGAAAGAATTAACAGATACATTGAGATTCTGTATGTTAGAACAGTAGAAAATACAGGCAGTGGATAAAACAGTGGCAAATGCAGGAAAAACTATTGTGAGAGCAGCAATAGGCTTCTGTTTTTGGCCATCTTACTGCTCATTTGAAGATCACTGTAGTTTTGGAAGAGGCTCTTAGGAGGTTTCTGAAAGGTGAAGGAGATCACTGTACAAGAGGATGGGTGTGTGTGAATACATTACCTTTTCGAGGGCATGAAAAAGAATAAAAAAGCCTAAGGCTTACACAATAAACAGACGTTTACACTGGCACCAAGTAAAAAAATGTTCAACAGAATAAGACTAGAAGTGTGCCAGTGACAAATAACAGCATCATTAACTATACTGTGAATTTTCAGCCTCAATTTTTTTTTTATTTTCACAAACAAGACCACTTGAAACTTAGGTAAACTATACACAATACAGTTTCTTGCATGTTATATTAGGCTGGTTTATTCTTATAAAACAGACAATTCATCCTAGGTCCTACCCAGACTATACTGTTCACATGAGAAAATACATGTTTATATTTGTATCCTGAAGCAAGAGCAAAAAAAGAGGATTTATCCTGCTCTTTGCAGAGGCTGCAAGATCCCAGGGACAGCCAACATCCCCACAGTCTGGTGCTACTCACATACTGCAACAGAACTGAGTTTCCCGTTTCTTGCTTCCAAGTTGTGGGTACAAGTGTTACCTGTTGGATGGCTGATTTTGAGATTAGCATGTCACTGGGATACTCTTGGGATTGTAACTGTAAGCTCCATATGCTGTCAATTAATACAGATTTCAGAAACTGATTTTTTTTTTTTTTTAGTTGTAAGTGAAGAAATTAGCAAAGTACACAGAAATAATAGGTTGGTGGGACTGATTCCAAGTGTACAAGCCCAAAGATTGCATGGTCCTCAGATAAAATGATCAAAACAATTCTGAGCAAAGAACAATGTGGAATCCCAACATATCAACTCTTTGGGACAAAATTCTACTGATTTTGACCAAGGTGGACGGGCCACCTCTACCTAACCCACAAAAGGGATATATATAAATTATACGTGTTTGATAAACAGCAAATACAAGCCATTATAAACAAACCAGTTGCACACAAAATAATGGAAAGTTTAGCTGTGTTTAACCCTGTTGTCAGACCATCACTGGGACAAAAATAACCCTCAACCGTGTGTTTAAATGTAGGTTGACAGGCTAGCAAAAACACCTGCAAGCAAAAATATCACACTTCTGTCTTCTTCTGCCCATTTTCCTTATATCATCTCCCATGACAGACAATACAAAGCTAGGAGTTCCACCATGCTAGCTGGGAGAAAGACTGAAACACATGGATGGGGTGGGAAGTGGAGGCACCTTGCACCAGAATAACAATGGATGTTTTAAAGATGCTTACGAAAATTCACAGGAAAAATCGTTAAATTACTACATTTTGAAGACTGATGCAAATAAGATTAAGAAATGATGCCACAGTTCAAATTAACACAATTATCCATAAATTGTTCCTAAAAATAAAGATATTAGTCTAATGACTGACATCCGCTAATTTCTAGAGTCAAGTTTTCATAGCACAATACATTGGATTTTAATAAAGGTGGTTCGCTGAAACTGCAGTACCTGAAATCCCACAATTATTAAAATCCCACATGCTCTGAGTTCAGCAGCTGTTCAGAAGCTTTAGGAACTGCTTAGAGGGAGCTTATTTCAGGACCAATGCACACAGCAGTCATTACCTGTAGGTAGAATAGCTCATATGCAATTATGCTACAATGACATTTAAGAAAACACCCTTACCTTTAATTACAGTATTTGAGAGGTGAAGAGGAGCCACTTGCCTTAGGTGCCCTTCATGTCTAATGGCACTTAATTTTACAAATGAAAACTGATTTTTCCATTAGCTGATAGTTTTTCTTCTGAAGAAGTACAATTTTGCTTATATATAATTCATAGGTGGGGAAGTTATTTCAAATCAAAGGGGTACTTTTATTCTTCCTGAGGAACATGCCACAAAACAAACTACAAGAAACTTGTGTGAGAAAGTATAAGCTATGATTTCTTTTGGATATGAATTCAGGGAAGGTGCATTCAAAGGCAGCTCTGCAAACCTTGTCTTTGCATCAATCATTGCTTGTTTTCATACTTTTGCTTTTGTTCTCATGAAAAGAGACAGTATGATAGCTCTACTTCAGGGCCTCAAAAAAATCACTCAGGAGTTCCTGCAAAGCAGGGACAGCCATGTTAACTTCCCTGTGATACCAACACCAACACTTTGGAATGAATTTTGACGGTGTAAAGCTACCTGAAAACACCCCTCCAACCCTGATCTTACACTGTTCTTCTTTCTTGGTACGCCTCTCTATATAATATTGACATTGGCTTAGTCATTCATACTAATTTTATCATAAAAAAATACCATATTTCTGACAAATGAATGAGGTTTTTCAGATGCATGAGGAAAGAAAGTGTGAATGGGAGATACAGTTGAAACAGCTACCTGGACAACACAGTGATGCTGGGAGAGGTCTTGAAGATATAAAAAGTTGGGAGCTGGTTTGATGGGATGGATTTTGGGCACTGGACAGAAAAAGTAAATGCATGCTGAGGAGAATGAGAGTTATCGAGTACAACACTGCTTCAATGTTTTTTATGCTGAGGGTTCCCCGTGTTTTGGTTCAGTCAAGACATCTCCTACTAATGGGGTGGTATACTGCTATCCAATAATTTGAGACAATTAGACAAAACACCAAAATTAATAGGCTTCCACCCATATTCATTTCAGCTGGATTTGGGTTTGGCCCAGATAACCTCCTACAACCTCTTTCCACCTCAACTGCTCTGTGATACTGTCAGTCACTACCAGGGGTGTGTGATCTCTCTCTTTAAAGTGCCTGACTACCAGGTGACTGTCAGTGACAAATGTGACCATCTGCAGGTCTGCCCCTCAGGGAAAGACTGTCCTAAGGAAGAAAGACAGTCCAAGCTATGGAATTACTTCCATTGAACAAATGACTAAAAGAGTGCTTTTCCTTTGTTTCAGGAAAGCTGATCAGTGGACACTGGAAAGGAGAGATAAAGGACAGTAACACTCCAGCCTCTCAGGTTGTCTCCTAAACATTTGTTGATGGCCTGTCACAGGCAAGCTACAGATAGATCTCCTTGAACTTGTAAGTGACCGGGTAGAACTGTTTTTCCATTCAGTGCTCTTGTCTAGATTCTACTTTTTTGTCATTCCCTTCCCAATCTCACAGGGCAAGCAGGAAGTAAGACAGGACAAGGGGAAAGGCACAACAGAACAGGACTGGCAGAAGGAGGAAGAAGGCAGGATTTTGTTCAGTGAGAACCATCAGTGAGAGTCCCCATACCTTCCACTTCTAGTCTGACTAAAATGATGGCACTTTACAGCGTTGTTCTGCCGTCATTTAAAGCATGCTTCTGACCGTGATGAAGAGCCAGGAGTGTGAAAAAGACCCAGACAAAGGTATTTAATTAAAAGATGGGCACCTTCTAAAGACTTTGTGAGTTCCTAGAAGATGAGGACATTGCTTGGCCGCGCTGGTGCCATGGCTGCTGAGCAGGCAGAAGCAGTGGTGTACCACGGTGCTGGGTGGTACTGTGAGTACTGCAAGCAGGGCAGTTGTGTGTCCAGATGCGTGACCATGCCTGAGCCTTTAATTTAGATATTGAAAGGAGTGTGAGAGCAGCTTTCACCATCTATCATCAGAAAAGTGGCACAGGTCGGAAACCTTCACTGAGATTTTTTTTGACGGCAGAATTCACACACCAGCCTTCTCCCTGTAAAACTTAAAGTGGTGAAGCTCCATTCACCCGGCTGATGCTCCATTCATTCCTGCGCCCACTTTAATCCTACAGGAAACGTGTGACCTCCCAGCTGCCGTCCCTTTTCGGTGACACGTGACAAAACCCGCTCAGTACATCCTAAAAGTCAGGCAGGGGAGGGAGGCGACGGGCCGGGTCCCGGTTCCGCTGTCCGTGCCCCGCTCCCCGCGGCCGGCTCACCCGGAGCGAGCCCCTCCCCTGCGGGGCAGAGCGGAGGCTGCGGCCCGAGGCGGCCCCGCTCCTCTCGCCCGCTTTCACTTTCGTTTCCGTTTCCGTCGCTTTCCCGGGCGGGGCTCCCCGGCCATGGCGCTGGCGACCCAGGCTCTGCAGGTGCTGTGCGCCAGCGGCGGCTCCCTGGAGCAGGGCGAGCTGCGGCGGCGGATGCCGAGCCGGCCCTCGGCCGACTGCCTGGCGGCCGTGCTGCGGGACAGGCAGCGCTTCACGCTGGTGCGCCGGCCCGGCCAGGCGGCGGAGGCCGAGGTAGCCGTGGTGGTGGCCACCAGCCCCCTGCGGCTGTGCCCGGAGCACGGCGCGGGCTGCCCGGGGCAGTGCGGGCGGCTGCACCTCTGCAAGTACCACCTGAAGGGCTTCTGCCGCAACCAGCTGGCCAGGTGAGGGGCGGGGGGGGGGAACGCCTTCGCGGGGAGCTCGGCCTGCAGGGGAAGATCTCAGTAAAGGCCTTGTATTCCTTTCCGCCTCGGAAATGCTCATTGCCCGTCTCCTTTTATTTTATTTGCGTGCGTTGTTGCAAAGGAGGCAGACACGGGCGGTGTTGTCACAGCTTTGGGTCGCAGCACTTCCTCCCCGCCTCATCACCCTGGCGCTTCCCTGCCCGTGAGCAGGGCCGTGCCAGGGGCAAGCTAAGTGTCCCCTCATGGGATATACCTGGGGAATATGCTACAGCTGAGTGTCCCCGCATGTCCCCGTGCTGCGGGACCCTGGGCGATGTGCTATAGCTGAGTGTCCCCGCATGTCCCCGTGCTGTGGGACCCCTGGGACTCAGAGGCTGAGAGGGAGCAATGCTCTGGAGCTTTGGTGGTTTCGTGGTTATGAGCTGCAGGTCAAAAATGCCGATACTGTCAGAGTGCAGTAAGGCTATAATGACTGTGAATAAGAAGTAGCATGGCAATTATCCTCAGAGTAATTATGTAATCTGCTTTGCAAATCACATAATGGCTTTATAGAGGAGCAAAGTGGATTTTTCTGCAACTAGCTAATATGGTGTGCTTTTTCAACTGTTCAGTGTAATGCCTGTGGGGTAGCAAAATAATGCCAGTCATTTTGCTGTTGGGTTTCTTGAGTTCTAGGAAGGGATGCAGGTTTGTTCACAACTTCTACTCAGACCACAATCTCAGTGTTCTAAAGCAGTATGGACTTGAGAATTTAAACCGTGATGAACTTTGCCAGCTTCTGCTTCAAAATGATCCTTCCCTCTTACCAGAGGTGAGTGTTACTCTGACAGCTTCTTAGCCTCATGTTTCAGTGAGCATCATAAAGTGGTATATGCTTTGCAGAGGTGGAGATATTTGGTGTCAATTTAGTTAGCTTAATGGAAATCTAAAAATAAATCTGCATCCTCTGTTCTCACCCGTGGTGGATTGACCCTAGCTGGCAGCTAAGCTCTTGAACAGTCCCTCATCCACTCCTCACTCCCCTGTCGCAAGCAGAAGAGGTGAGCATAAACAGGAACAAAAGTGAATGGAGATAGACAGTGTAGCAAGTGGAGGAAAGCAGGGAGAAAATTGTTGCAAAGGAACACTTTTGCTTCACCACCTCGAAGCAGATTGTTGCCCAAGTCTCTGAGCAAGTGCTACTTGTAAGAAGGACCCACCTCCCTCCTCTTTCACCTTCATTCTGTATTTTCTCCTTTTTTTTTTTTTTTTTTTTTTTTTCAGAATGACATTATGTGGCATAGAATATCCCTTTGGCCGGTTTTCCTATTTCCTAGTTTTAACTGGAATAGAGTTAATTTTCTTTGTAGTAGCTGGTACAACGCTGTGTTTTACACTCAGGGTGAAAACAATGTTGATAACACACCCATGTTTTAGTTTTTGCTGAGAAGTGCTTGCTCTAAGTCAAGGACTTTTCAGCTTTTCATACTGCCCTGCTAGCCCGTAGACTGGGAGTGCACAAGAAGCTGGGAGGGAATGCAGCCAAGACAGCTAACCCAAACTGGACAAAAGGATATTCCATTTCACATGACATCATTCTGAACAGTAAAACTGGGGGAGGTGGCCCAGGGGTAGTGGCACACTGGTGGGGACTGGCTGGGCTTTGGTCAGTGAGCGGTGAGCAGCTGTGTTGTGCATCACTTGTTTTGTCTATTCTTTTGTCATCGTTATTATTTCCTCTTCCTTGTTATGTATGCCATATTAAACTGTGTTTATCTCAACCCTATGAATTTTAGGTTTTTTTCTGATTCTCTTCTTCATTCCATGGAGGGAGTGAGCTAGAGAGGCTGTGTGGTGTTTATCTGTCCTGGTTTTGGCTGAGATGGAGTTAATTTTCTTACTGGTTTTCTTACTGAACAGGGCTGTGTTTTGGATTTAATGAGTTGGCAACCCTCTGATGCTGTTGCCAAGTAGTGCTTACCTTCAGTCAAGGACTTTTCAGCTTGCCCTGCTCTGCCAGTGAGGAGGTGCACAAGGAGCTGGGAGGGAGCATGGCCAGGACAGCTGACCCAAACAGACCAAAGGGATGTGTTATCAACACTGTTTTGGTCACAAACCCAAAACCTAATGTCTGCTATGAAGAAAGTTAACTTCATCCCAGCCAGATCCAGTACCTCTTACCATCAAACTGGGGTCAAAAAAATTCCAAAACTATTCCAAAACTAGAAAATCAAAGAGGTGTGACTTAGCACTAAATGGAAAAACAAGAAGAAAGAATAAATGTTTCTTTCAAAAGCAAATGTATGCACATAACTGTAAAAAACTAACAATCATGGATTCAAACAGTCTAAATGAGCGCATTGTACTTTGATCTCTAAATTTTTTTTTTTTTTCTCCTTCCCAAGGTCTGCTTGCATTATAACAAAGGTGATGGACTTCATGGATCTTGTTCATTTAAATCATCCTGCAGCAAACTTCATGTTTGTCAGTACTTTTTGCGGGGTCAGTGCAGATTTGGCAGCAGCTGCAAACGGTCCCATGACTTATTAAATCCAGAATGTTTTGAGAAACTGGAGAGACAGGGAATGAGCTCAGACATTATTGAGAAACTACCTTCCACTTATAGAAACATGTATGACATTAAAAATGGCAACAAAAATGTGTATGACACAGAAGATGCCATGTCCTCAACATGCAAAGGTAAATAATATCATCTTTTGAATACATCAGAATACATCATGGTAGTGAATTTAATATTTTCACTGGTGTAATTAAGAAAACTGAATTTGCATCTTGATTTGTCTTTTAGGAGGGACCTTGTACTTATCTCTCTGACAGAGATCTTTGTCTTGACAAGTGAAGTCAGGAGAGGTCCCTGAGAAATAGTGCTGATGCTTATGAAATTCTTAAACTTGAGGTTAGAAAATCATTACAGGAACTGGAAGTAAGGAGCTCATAATTTTTGAGTTTTTTAGGCAAAATACATAAAGGTAGAGACCTGTTTAAGAATAGGAATGGTGATTGTCTGATTATAAACTATTTAATTGTTTTTCTTTAATATAGAGATTGCCTAGCACAAGAATTCACAAATAGCACTATCCTAGTTACTTCTTAGAAGTATAATATTTTGTTTGCACTTTTCTTTTAAAATTCTTTAGAATTGTAAGTTAATTATAGTTTAGCAGGGGAAAAAAAAGGCTAACAGAATGGAGAATACAAGTGTGTATGCTGGTCTCCACTATTCTGTCAACAGCTCCTTCTTCCTTTTCTTAAAGTTCTTTAATTTACAGAAGTATCAGATTTTGAAACTTTGTATTTTGTAGTGCTAGTGTAATCAGCTGTATGGAATGCACAGTTAACTCAAGTCCATCTGGAAGTATAAAGGCATTGGATTGTATTCTCAAGCTAAAAACTGTATCTGAGGAATTCAGCAGTTATCAAATTTGGAAAGGAAGGATACAGGGAGGGGACTTCGAGTATACAAGTTTATCAAAGGCTTCCCTGTCTTTCTGCAGCTGAGTGCAGTTAGCTAGTTACAAACATTGCCTTTAGGCATCTTCCCTAGGAATAAGAGGTGTTGATGATACAAAGAGTATTAATAGTTATAATTCCCCCTCTAGACAAAAAACCCAGCACTGGATGGGATTCCTCAGCTACAAAGGACGATGAACCAGAACAGATATGTTTACACCATCTGTACAGAAGCTGTAGCTTTAAAGGTAAGTTGTCTCAAGTATCAGTACAGACTGTGTCAAGTCCAGCCTATTTTTCTGTTCTCATAAAGTAGAAGTGGTAGACATCTTTCACAGAAGGGGGAAGCTTCAGAGTTTATGCTTATGTTTTGTTAAATCTCACAGCTGTCTTGAGTGCTGTAGGAAAGTGTTTGACCTGGCACACCAAACAAAGGTGTTTTGTTTTGCTCTGGAATCTGCCTGTGCTGAAGATTGGCTACTCTACCTGTGTTTACCTAAGGGATTGCTGAATGACTGAGTCCCATTTCCAACAGAAAAGATACTCTGAATTCTACATTCTCCATTGTTTCTTTTAGTACTCTTCTGTTCAGCCTATCTTGCCTGTCTCCCTTTCAAAACGTTCTAAGATACCCAGGAAAAAAGCTGCTTTTCCAGCTTGCTGCTATATATTTTTGTCATCCCTTTTCTTCTTTATGATCTTGACCTGTGTACCAAACACCTTGCTTATATGAACAGTGTGGTGCAGTTTCTCCTTGAATTTCCTTGTGGTTAAGTTTCCGTTTGTTCCGCTGTGGAAGTTGGCCTCAGGTTTATGCACGTGTGCACTGGTGATGTCACCTTCACTGAGGAGGGACTGCACACTGACTCTCTGAACTCTGAGTAACACTTACCTGACTCACTTTGCTCTTCTCTTACCATTGCTCTTCTTTGTGGGGCCTGGACCTCTTAGAGACTTAGTGAAGGGCAAAGGACTTTGAGACTGAAGGAATGATATCTGTGTATTTGTCAAAAGAGAGGAAAAGTGATGGTTGTTAACTGGGTTATATTGGAAGGTGTGTGACCTAGACATGGTGTAAATAGTATGGAATAAGTGGTGGATACAGCCCTGCTTTCAGCTGGGACAGAGTTAATTTTCTTCCTAGAAGCCAGTACAGTGCTGTGTTTTAGATTTAGGATGAGAGTAACATTGATAACACACTGATGCTTTAGTTTTTGCTAAGTAGTGCTTACCCAAGCACTTGACTGAAAAGTCAAGAACTTTTCAGCTGCCCATATTTTGCAAATGAGGAGGTGCACAAGAAGCTGGGAAGGTGCATGGCCAGGACAGCTGACCTGAACTTGTCAAAGGGTTATTTCACACCATTAGAACATCATGCTCGGCATATAAACTGTGGGAGTTGGCTGGGAGGGGCTGATTGCTGCTTGGGAATGGGCTGGTCATCAGTCAGTGGGTGGTGAGCAATCGTAGTATGCATCACTTGTATTTCTTGGGCTTTATTCCTCTCTCACTTTTTGTTAGCTTCCTTATAGATATATTCATATATATATATATACAAATATATATATATAAATATGTATTTGTAGATATTCTTCTACTTACACTTACTGTGTTGTATTTTATTTCAGTTTATATCTAAGCTGTTCTGATTTCAACCCACAGATTTACCTTTTTCCTGTTTTCCCCAACTCACTGAAAGAAATGGAACTAAGTGACTGTGTTGTACTTAGTTACCATCTGAGGTTAAACAATGACAATCCTTCTCCTATCTTAAAACTAAGCACTGCTGTGTTTTGAATTTTTTCTCAGTAATACCACTTCGTGATTTAGTGATTAATCATAAATACACTTTTTTTTTTCTATTTATGAAATAATAGCCTTGTATAAGCCTGTGATCTTGGTTCATTTTTTGTCTCTGAAACTGAGAATGATCTATAAAATTTTAATGTGCAAACAGAGTTTAGTAAGTACAGAAGTTGAACTTCTACCTAAGCCCAAAAACTCAAGTGTTGCTTGCTTATGCTGAAAAATTCTGAACTACTGTGTGTTACGGTTCTGTAGGTGAACACTTTCCCTAGCTATCCTTTTGATGATTTCACCAGCTGGCTATAAAGCCCTGAAATGCTGGAGTTCTCTCATAGCTTGTCAAAATAATGCATCTCCTACTTCTTTTTTTTAAAAAAACTTTTACAGGAAAGTGTACCAGAACCCACTTTCGCTTGCCATATAGATGGCAGTACTCTGAGGGTAATACCTGGAAGGACTTCATGAATATGGAAGAAATAGAAAAAGCATATTGTGACCCAAAAAATGTCAGGTATAAACTCTTATAAAACTTCATAATGTTTGGAGTTTGCTATATTGTACCAGATCCTTAGTGGCTATAAATTGCTTCAATTCTATTGCAGTCATTACATAAGTAGTTTCATTTGGTATTCTTCTACTTATCTCACTTTGCATGAGATTTGCCCCTCCTTTCCCCTTTGCCCACAGTCTGTATTGTGGAACTGGCAGGATACCTGGAGAGAGAGAGAGAGAGAGAAATTGAGAGATACTCTTGGGAGTAGAGCATGTGAATAATATGGAAACACCTTTCAGGGTTTGGAACTGGTCATATAGCACAAAGAGAGTATTGGAAGGGGCTCATACCAGTATGCCATGTCCCATGCTGGAAAATTACCTGTTCCAGGCTCTTTGAAGCTCTTCTTAGGTTATGTCATTGTTCTCTTTAGAATATAGTTGGTCAGCAAGAAGAATCTGGTGGTGCCCGTTTTCCACTGTTTCTGTTCATCTTGCATAACTCACTAATTTAGGAGTGGGTTATGTTTATTGCCTGTAAAACCACTGTGAGACATAATACTGTAATGCAAAATATGTACAGACAGGAAACAGAGCTAGCACACAGAGTTGTGGAAAGTGCAAAGCACACATTGTAGTGAAAAGTGCACCTTTGTGTTCTGCTTTTGGATGAGATTGACCTAATTTGCAAATTTGTAGTGGGCTTCTGAATCTATGAGTAAAGCTTCACGAGCAGTTCTGATTTTTTTTCCTCCTTTTTTTTTATAGATTTGATTATGCTCTTGCTCATGAAAAAGTCTTTTTCCCATTCTGTGTCTGTTTCGACAATATGTCCTGTGGGTTGCAAAAAGTCAGACGTCTTTCTACAGCCTCCTCTGTGACCAAACCCCCTCACTTCATTCTTACAACAGAATGGATCTGGTACTGGAAAGATGAATATGACACGTGGCAGGAGTATGGAAAACAAGTAAGTGTGGAGAAATGAGGAGACTCCTAACTCTGTATGGGAAATGCAGAACTACTGAAAAGTGCACAGTGTTTATATCCTCCCCTTCTTTTGTCACCCTCTTCCTGTCACTCATACTGTACAGATGGACATTAAAGGCCTTATGGGGTCTTTTCCCTGTGATTTTGATTGGTTCAGGTAGGGGACTGATCACTAGTGAGTCAAATATTATCAACAGATAACTATTGAGTGAGTCATGTCAGATAGGATCACATTAATAATACATTATTTCCATTGCTTCTGAGAAAAGCCTCCTTCTCTGAAGTCCCAGAAGTACTCTGCCATCTTTCTTGGTGTAGTTGGTGAATGTGTGGTCTGTCCTGGTTTCAGCTGGGTTGTAGCTAATTTACTCCCTGGTAGCTTGCACAGTGCTGTGCTTGCATTTAGTATGAGAATAACATGAAGAGAACAGTGAGGTTCTAGTTGTTGCTATGTGGTGCTCACTCTAAATCAAGGATTTCTCTTATGCTGATATATACTGCACCCACCATACATATGAGAGTTGTTGGTTTTAAAACTTGCTTTTCTATTACAGACAAGGAGAAACTTTATTTTTCTCTATTTTTGGCATGACAGAATGATCTTCATGCAGCTGCTACTGTCTCCAGTGAAGACCTGGAGAAAGCTTATTTGGCTGAAAGTTCTCCAAAGCTGACCTTCAAAGCTGGAAGACATGAATATGAAATAAATTTTGTGTGTAGGTTGGATTTGCTTTGTTCTTCTGTTTTGTCCCTTCCTCCCAGGTCTCTTGTGGTTTTGAACTACCTTATTACAGGAGATAGAAGAGAGAAATTTGGACTTTGTCTTGCAATGCTTACAGAGACAGAGCTTCTATCAAAGTTCTCAGGATAAGAGCTATTTACATAAGCAGAGTGACATTCTATTCTTTCAAAGCTTTTAGTTTTGAGAAGTTCTTGTGCTAGGTTTCAAAATGTCTCCCAGAAAGTCCAAGTGTGACACTGACACAAATGGTGAGGAACTTTCAAAAGACTTGACAAGCCAGCTTCTGCTCTACTTTAATCACTGGTTTGCTGGAAAACAAATACTTGGACAAGGTGTAGGGGTCCAGACAGTCCTTAGCATTGCAAGATTTTTGCAGATATTTTCTTTTCATCCTGTTTGAAAAGGCTGAGAAAATACCTTGACTATGTCAAAGTAGGAGGAAATGTTTCCCAAGAGTTCAGGAAATATAAGCCACTTGTGACAGCACTGTTCTCTCAGCTGTTGCCTTTCCTGGCATCCTTCTCAAAAATTATGTAGAATAGTGGTGGAAATCAGTCTTCCTGGACTGTCAGTTTCATGTAGTTGTCTTTGATCCAGCTCTCCATTACTATCTCATTCTGCATGAAGAAAAGCCAAACAGAAAAACCCCAAACCAAAAAGCCAGAAGGGGCATGTTATCTGCTGTTTTTGAGTAAATCGGTTGTCCTGCTTAGAAGTGAAGATTGCCTAGTGAATCAATGCCTTTTCTAAGGTTTGGGCTTTTTTTAGTAACTTAGGCAAATATATGCAGTGTAGATGTCTTCCAGAACTTAATTTCCATTCTTGGTAATGCCAAGAGATTTTTTTGTTTGTTTTCCTGTGTATGTCTCTGTGAAGATGAGGCCTCATTGTTCTGGTTGGTACTGACTCTTAATTGTTAGTATGATATCACAGTAGCTGCAGAGGTTCTAAAATCCAGAAGGAATGCTGCTAAAATTCAGGTTCCTGTGACTTGTTTCTCTCAAGGTCAATAAAAATAAATGGTCTGTGATAGATGTTGGGTTCTGTTTACAGGGTTTGAAATCTACAACTAAATGTGGGGGAAAAGTATCTCTGTTGCAAAATGAGGAGGAAGGAGCCTTTTTGTCAATGTTTCTGACAAAACAACTTAGTGAAAAATGTGGCTGCAGTGTGAAGGCTTTTAAAAACATCTTTGATGGTTCATGGGATTTTGTTTGTTTGCTTTCTCAGCCATGATGCAGAAAAACCTTCACTACAGAACAGAAAGGAAGATTTGCAGAAGACCTAAATTTGTCTCTCCGGCAGAGGTGGAAAAGAAGACAAAAGCCAGGTAAACCACAGCTGCTCATTCTGAGGTGATGAGTTTAGTGCTTTGTGAATGCTGAATCCTCCATGGGCGCAAGTAGGGTGAAGAAGTAGCTGTTAAGGCAATTGTGAAAGCCATGGAGAGGGAAAGGGACATACCTTTCCTACAACCATGTCTTGCCAGGGCAGTGCTGCAGCCTGGCCAGCAGTTTTCAATCACTCAGGAGCCTCTGCGGTGGAGAAAATTGGGCTTGGCTACAGGAAGTGTGGAAACATAGGAGATAATTCAACATGTAGCAATATGTTTATATGTACTAGCTCTTTCTGAGATGAGTAATTTTCAAAGCTAAGTGCAAGTTCAGAAAAACTATTTTGAGAGCAGCTAGATAATCTGAAAGGAAAGCAGTAGTTGTTTAAGGCAGAACAAAAGGTGGGAGCCTGCAAGGAGCTAGAGTTGCATGTAACAGCCAACTTGCAGCACACAGTCCTTGCTTAAACACCAAAAAGAGCAGCTAAACACACCAATTAAAACTGGGGTGGAAATACAGGGAAAGGGCTGTATCTATCCTGTTTCTGTCATACTGATGTGATACTGGATGCATTTGTATTTACCTCCCCCAGTGTAGCAGAGCTTTTATATATACATTCAACTCTGCAAGAGAAATCCTTATGTGATCAGTTCAGAGTATATATTTCTTTTTTTCTTGTTTGGCATCTTGCTTCATGACGTAAGTCTTGACACGATGACTAGGAACAAATATTTTCATGTGCTGAAATGACAGTTTTGAAATAGTTTTGAATATGTTCAGTTCTCCCTATGTTCATATTCTCCCTAAACTTGACAAAAATGTTTAGTACATAATGTGTGCATAAAATGTAATGTTTAGTTTTATTTTAATTGCCTATTTGTAATGTCTTATAATCTACAGGGGTGTTAAGCATACAGAAGGGTTTAAGAGCATTCCAGCTCACTGGGACAAATCTGCCCTGCCTGAACTGGGATTCAAGGTTTGGAGATTTTTAGTTTTTTCTTTCTGTCAGTTCTGTCACGTAAGGTTTGTTCCAAGTTCAGTGTTTCTTCTGAATGACTGTTTCTATGTAGCATAATTCAAAGGTATTGGTAAATTTAAACTTGATACCACACTGGGCAGACTGGAGGTAAAACAAGACCCAAATTTAAACAAATGGTGGCAGTAAAACTGTGGCAGCAGGAACTTCCTTGCCTTGGCAAATTTGCTGTGTTATGAAGACTGCTACTGCTGCCCAAAATACAGAGTTTTGAAGTCCCAACATGTGCTGAAAGCATCAGAGGTAAGTGATGGCTCTGAACTTCAAAGTAGCCACTCCTTAGCTGTCGACTGTTATATATCTATGGAGAGCTACTGAAACCAGGGGAGTTCACAAAATCCTACAGAATGGTAGAGCATGGAATGGGGAACCTCTGGAGATTGCAGAGACCAACCCCCCTGCTAAAGCAGGTTCACCTAGAGGAGGTCACACAGGATTGTGTCCAGGTGGATGTTGAATATCTCTAGAGAGACTCCACAGCTTGTTCAGGATGGGACCTTTTATTATTATGTTTACTTTTACTCACTCCAGTGGAGTCAACTTGTTTACTTTTGTAACACACCCGATGAATATATGTGTGGTTTTCCTTCTCTGACTTCCTGTCTGCTTCCACCAGCTCCTCTGTCAACTCTAGTAACTGTACCTACAGAAAAGTTGTTATCTGATGCTCAAAAATCACTAACTTGCAAAGTGCAAATCTTCAAGAAGTTGTCACTAAGAATTAGGAAAGACTAACGTTGACATTTTTTATGTTCCTATGAAAATATGCAAGTAAACTTTGCTTGCTTTCAGGACTGTCATGTAAGGAACTAATTTTTAGTAGTGTGACCATGCTTTTCCCTAAAATTGCTCAAATAAAACCTCTTCAATTGATTTAGAAACACAACAGGCAGTGCAGTTTGTGTTCACTGGCTGTAGGGAGTATAAACTAAAAAGATCCTCTGGTTTTCTGCAACATAAATTCTCAATTCCTTTTTTATTTATGTGCTCATTTCTGATATGTATTTAGATACTGTTTGATGCATGCAAATATCCTCATATCTTGACCCAGATATGAAGAGGGGTTGAGTGGCTGCACAAAAGCATGCAAAAGTAACCTTTCAAACTTTTCCTTGCAGCTGATTGAGCTTGACTGTTCTTCTGAGGAATACAAGAAAGTCAAATTGGACTTCCAGCGCACAATGCCCAAAGCAACTATTAAAAAGATTTGTAGAGTTCAGAACCCATCCCTCTGGGAATTGTATCAATGGTAAGTGTAAAACACTGCTCTGGTATGCATGCATGATGTTTGTTGTTCCTGCAGTTAGCTGTATGTTCTGTGCTAAAGACAAAACACGCATTCCTGAAATGCCTCTGCTTCCACTCTCCCACTGAAATACCTACCTAGTATCAACATTTAGATAAAGAGATATCAACAAACCCAAAACTCAGTCAAGACACAGAGCTTAGAACAGTCACATTCAGGGCTGTGTGGGAGGAATCCTTGCTCCTGACTTCTGCCAGGCTTGTGTCCGTGACAGCTTCCTTCTAGTGAAACCTTGAAGCTGGTAATGAGTCACATCTAGCACAATGTTTTGCAGCTGGTCAAAACTGAAATAGCCTTCAAAATTAAATGCTAATATAAACTCCTGTGTTCAAGGAAAAAAACCAAAATGTTGAGATTCCTCCCTCTTTCTTCAAAGGCAGTGAATGAAAGAAAACATTTGTAGTAAAGCATTTATGTATAATGCAAACATGTTTTTGTTAGGCCTTACTGTAAAGATTTTCAGAATATACTCTGTATAACATTGTTTCCGAGTGTCTGGAACACTGTAGGGACAGCCACTGTGGAACTGCGAACATTCTGCTTCTCGTTGCAGGCAGAAGGACCTAATGCAGAAGAGCAATGGTGGAAAGGCCGCAGATGAGCGATTTTTGTTTCATGGGACCAGTAAAAAAGACATTGATGCCATCTGTCAGCAAAATTTTGACTGGAGAATCTGCGGCCTTCATGGGACAGTCTACGGCAAAGGTTGTTTTTCAGCTCTTTCAGAAATCCTAGACTTGCTAAAAAATTCCCAGTACTCACTGCAGAGGGGTAAAGTGTACAAGGTGGTACTTGGCCAGTCCTGGGCTTCTCTCTGTTGTGATGTGGGCAACAGAGCTGAGTTTCACAAGGGTCATTTGGAGCTAAGGCACTCTGAAAGGCCTTGGCCTCTGCTTTCCTGAGTTTTTGGCAGAAAAGACAGACTTAGGAGAGGTAAGTTGCAGGGATGGTTTCTGCTAGACTCCAGGCTTACTGCTGTTCCAGTTTCTCCCAGCTCCTGTAGGAAAGCAGCCTGTTGCTTTTTTTTTCCCCGGGAATCTAAATGCCATTCTGGTTACAGGCCTTTTGCCTTGTTAGCCAATTATATACTTTTACATTGTGCTGTGTACAGGAAATTACCAGCACATCCAGTGGAATAGCTGAGACAGGCTGACTGGCTGACTACACACCTTTCTGCTTGAATACATTACAACTCTCAGAAACATTAGAGAATCACAGGTATTTTGAGCTGGAAGGAACCCACAATGATCATAAAGTCCAACTGTGCTGATGAACATTAGTAGCCTCTGCCAGGAGAGGAAATGCAGTGATTTTGGGTAAGGTGGATGTCTAGGGTCAGGAGGAAATCCTTTACAGGATTATGGTAACATTTTAAACATTTCTTTTTAACAGGTGTGCTGTGGAAACTACAAAGTGCATAGTGGTCGTTTCCACTAAGAGGGACATAGAGGACAAGTGAAGGCTTTGGAAAGGCTGTTCATGAATTGCTTAATGGATTTACTTATTAACTCATTTTCACACAGTATCATTTTGCTCCTGCAGTTTTGGTGTCTTATCAACTCTGTCTTGGTGTCTTCTGCAGGAAGCTATTTTGCAAGGGATGCATCTTATTCTGACAACTACTGTGGGACAGACTCACACACCAAGACCATGTTCCTGGCACGAGTGCTGGTGGGGGAGTTCACTCTTGGTAGTTCTGATTACGTTCGGCCTCCCATGAAGGACAGCCAAAACTTCTATGACAGCTGTGTGAATAACTCTTCAAATCCTTCTATCTTTGTCATCTTTGAGAAGCAGCAGATTTATCCAGAGTATCTCATAGAATACCAGACATTTGCAAGACTTATATAGCAGCAAAACCTGTCATCCTTATGTTTAACTGGTTTAAACATTTTTTTAGTTTTGGCTTAAGAGAAAAAATTATTTAGAAGAGGCTGTGTAATCAGATAGGCGAGTGTTCAGAAACATTTTTCCTCTGTGTTTTCTGTGCAATAGAAAACAAGGCATAAAAAGACATAGAGGATGTTTTAGAATTCATAAAATCTTGTTTCTGTATCTATTTTTAGCAGCTTTCACATTACCCTACACTATGAGAGCCTTTCATAAATTTATTAGAAGAAATTGCTGATGGTTGTAGCATGAGAATTGGCTGTGACTGCCAAATTTAAACAATTTTTAGTTATTGTTCCAGGATAGGTTTTTACATGTGCTCATTGGTCAGAGGCACTATCCTTCTATCTGTTTATCTTTTAAGTCAAAATTGAATAAAACACAGTTTTTTAGTAATCTGTTTCCTGTAACAGTAGACATTCAGGTGTTTGCAAACATGATTGTACAAAATCTGTGCTCAACTCATTGCATAAATTCTGAGTAGCCCTCTTATTTTTTGTCCCTACTTAATCTGCACCAACAAAACCTCAAAAATTAAACTAGCTTGTTGAAAAAGAACAGAAACTTATTTTCATTTGTTGAGTTTCTCATTTAAAACAAGTACCAAAGATACAAGCATAACAGGCTGCTTGGTGCTGTGTAACCCAGTTGATTTACTCTATCAAACAAATACTGTATTTTACTGAGAACACAAGTTTTTCATTACTTTCACTGTGCTTACAAACAAAAGAGTGTTGGCAGGTGCCATGGAGGAAGCAGAGGAAGCAACTCACGCTGTTATTAAATATCATACTTAGGAGGGAGATATACTGCTTGTCCTGCTTGGTTATCAGTACCTTGTTCCTGTGGATGAGCCTTATGGTTCCCTTACAGCTGTTGGGAAGGATGGTCTCTCATTAGGTGTTCTGCCTCTTTGGGTCCAGGAGATTCACAGATTTCCTGTGTTATCAAACTGTTGTTGGACTTTTTTCAGGAAAAATGTACTTGCCTAGAAAGTGGTCTTCAGCCAGAGAACTGAAACCTTTAAAATCTGAAGATTAGGTTGAATATTTAATTATTCCTATCAGAAGAAGATAATAGTGTTGAGCAGTCATCTTACATGTGTGCTATCAAAAAACTTGAGGTATCCAATATTTTTTTAAGATTAAAGTTGCTGATGCATAGAGACTTTATCATAGTATTTTCATGCTAAAGTAGCTATAAATTAGGTATACTATACTGCAGAAGCCTTAAGAAATACTTTGTGTATGACCTAAAAAAACTCTTATTTAGCTACATTCTGTTTATTTCTTTTTAATTCATCTGGATGATGACTGACAGGTGTTCACTGGGTAACTATTACTTCAGCACTGTGAGCCAGGAACTTTGCCATGATTAGCTGGAGTAAGGCTGTGCAGACCCCTTTTTATGTGAACTGCAAATCTTGAAGCATGATACCTAAAGGAAGATAACTCCTATTTGTGTTTAATCCCAGTGTAACACAGGATAGGGAAAGGCAAATTAACTGTATTATTACTTTTGAAAAATTTGTAATAGAACATAAGTGATAAATCTCATGTCAGCAGATGAGCTCATCAGCAAATAGTACATTCATTAAGGAGGATAACAGGTATGGAGGAAAGCTTTCTGATGTGTTCTCTTTTCTGCCAAAACAAAAAACATGTTCATCTACATGTTAATGGCAAATGAGAATACTGGTCGTATGCATTTCTTCCTCTGAACATAACCAGAATTTCAGGTAAGAACTAGAATAGATAAAGTCATGCTAATCTTCTGCCAGAAAATTGAAACAAACATTCCTTTTCAGACAAAAAGTTTAAATATTTTTATTGACATTTTTTATTGTATTTTTAAAACCTCTAACTTGATTCTTGGAGAGGATGTGTGTATGCTTGTGTGTGTGTATGAGTGTAAGTAAAACAGTGAATAAAATGCCTGGTTGTAGTACTTTGTCATCTGTTATTTCTCCATTATCACAGAAAAAGCAAAGCTGCTGTGTTTTCCACTTTTGAAACCGCAGGGGTAACTTTGTGTACAGTAAATAAACAGGTACTCAAACCAGTTAATTCCTTCTGATGGTCTTCTCTCTTTCAATACTGAAATTACAATATTTCAATACACTTGTGGGTTTAGAGGCTGTTGTTAAGCAGTAGGAGTCCCTCTACAGGTGTTTGGGTTGCATTTGGAAATGAATAAATTAAAGAGATGTTTACATTAAGTCCAAATTTTAGGCAAAAAGTAATATTAAACCTCTTTTCTGAGTGATGAGGATCTCTTTTGGCTGCTTAAGGCAAGCAACTGGGCAGAAGAGTGCAATAATCTGTCACTCACTCCCACGCCATGTGAGGAGAAAGATAAGCTGTGAAGGGTGTTTCCTTTTTCGGTAACAGGTCCATCCTGGCAAGACAGACGGTACAGCCAGCAGAAGCCAAACAGCTTTGCTGTGCCAGCAGTGGGGTGTGGACCTTGGGGGTTTATCAACCCTCATCCTCCACCTGCTGCACTGGGGAGGGGGCTGGCAGCCAGCCAAAGGCAACACACTGTACCCTTTAGTGAGGGTTACCAAGAGCCAGGTTTGTCATGATCTTCTGACTGGATTTTATGAGATGTGGGTGCCAAAATCCTGCCTAAGTGTTGGCAGGAAAGGTGGCAGTATCTGGTTTGGATACCTGCAGCCTGGCAAAGTAGGGGCTGGTGGGTGAGAGGAACTTGGGTGGATGGCACATACCAGCTACAGTGCTGGGCTTGGAAAAGGAGCTTTGCTTCTAGGAACCGGTGCTCAGAGCTGCCTTAGGGCCAAAGGGCAAGTGGGAATTGCAGAAATGCTGCTTAATTTGGAGTACATCCAGCAGAAGATCAAGGTGGGATAGCTGTTACATGGGCAGCATTACTGGTGCTTCCCTGTTTTTCCAAGGGAAAAGACTTCATGGCCTCCATAGCTCCATTGCACTTCTTGCTTCAGGCCCATCACAAATTCATCTCCACATGCAGAAATCCTAGCAATTGAGGGAATACTCAGTCCTTGAAAGTAGCCACAGCCCTTAGTGGTGCAGGGAGAAAAACATCTTAGAAACATGAGATTTTTCAAGGTCAGAAGAAAGTGAGTGGGGCCAGCATAAACCAAGCAGTGACAATTTATAAATAATCTTTAAATTCTTTTACCATGTTTTCTGCTGTAAACACATGGAAGAGTCTGGAATCAGGATGTCCAGGATGCTTTACAAAGGGAAATGATGAAGCGATCACTGCCTGAAGTATCTCACACATAAAATTCTGCAGTTTTATGCCAGGAAAGAATAGAAGGTTCCATGAAGTTCCATAATTTCTGCCACTCAACTCTTGTTTTTCTAGGAATAACATTTTTAAAGTAAAAAACTGTGAAGGTTTTTTCTATCAGCAGCCTCATTAAAAATACCATTTTATACTGGCAGCTTTCTGTCATCATTACAAAGACCAGAAGACATATTTAATAGAAGCTTTACTTTACCAAGCAGCCTTTGCTTCGTATCAGCTGTCAGAGAATGACTAAAACCCTTTGGTAACACAGACGTGCCTGATTTTAAACTCACAGCTCAGCAATGCAAGACAACACACTTGCTGTTTATGAGGAAAGGAATTATTTTAAATCAGTTTCCTGGTTCCTCCCTAGACCCAACTGCTGCTGACTGAAGCATGTTGTACCAGAATGCTAAACAGTTACCATTACTTAAGGATGTAAAGCTTTGTTTTGCTATTGCAACTATAAACATAATGCTGGGGGTGGGTTTTTTCTTGTTACTGTTTTGCTTTTGTTTTGGAGGGGTTTTTGGTGGCTTTTTTTTGTGGTTTTTCTTTTTCTTTTTTTTTTCTTTTTGAGAATTTTGGGGTTTTTTAAATTAATTCTGAAACCAGTTTTACTGAAGATCAGTTTGGGACCATGTTATATAGGTGCACAAACACACCGTGATTCCAGTGATATTAGCAGTTTCTGTTTTGGACAGCTGCTGGCAATCTAGTGCCTTGTTTTTCTGGAAATGTGTGCTTCCAGAGGTTCACTGGTCCTTGCCACAGCTCACTCTGTAGGTGCATTGCTGAGCTCACAGCCAGGGTGAGGTCCAGCGCCACTGAGTGTCCTGGTACAATGTCTGCAATGTCGTGATTCACCAGCTGTTTAATGAGAAAGAACAAATGGCTTGGGGCTCTTCCTGTATTACTGGAAAGTTGGCAGCCTTTTTCCTGTCTTCTCTAGCTGTCTGTCTCAGCCTGCATGTAGAACAAGGGTTGATGCACTTCCAGAAATCTGACTTCAAATGCAAAAATAATTTCTCCGTTCCATAGTGCTGCAAACTGACAGGTGAAAACACATAACACTTCCTAACCAGCAGCCTGCAGAACAGTTGAAGGACTCTTAGCACAGAATCAAGTGAGTTTACTTGAACACATACTGTCCATGTTCAACATGGATGCAGCTGGGAAAGACTCTTGGTTCATTTTCCAAGCCTGTAAAATGTGACGCACACCTGCAGCCACTTCAGGACTCTTCTTTTTCCAATGGCATCAATATTTGAAATTATGTTGGTGGAGAGGCACCTCAGTGCATCCCAGCATACCAGTTTGCTGCCAGTGCCAGCAAGAGATACACAGAGCCTGGAAAGGGTTTATAGATCAGCAGGAAGAACAGCACAAAGGAATTCCAGCCACTCCAGCCCAACTTGAATGCCTCTCTGAAAGTATATGCAGTGTGCAGAATAAAAAATGGGGTTAGAAATGCGCACCCCTGCAGGTCTGTGATCTCACTGGCCTCACACAGACATGGTGGGATGGCTCCTGTGACCTGGAGTGTGCTGGAATGGAAATATACAGGCTTTTGAGGAAGGGGAGAGGAGATGAGAAGGGGGTGTCACCCTCTGCCAGCGACCAGGTAGTGCATGGACCTCCACCTGGGGATGCATGAGGAGCTGGGACCTTACAGGTCAGGATTAAAGGGAAGGACAAGGCACCCAAGAAAGCTTGTTAAAATTCAAAGATTGCTTCCTCTGAGATCAGGAGTCATGCACCCCAACAAAGAGGAAGTGAGGCAAAAATACCAGGAGACCTTCATGGTCAAGAACAAGGAGCAAACAAAATAGAAGTCTACAGATGGTGGGAGCAAGGACAGGTAGCCTGGGAGAAATACAGATGAATTGTCTAAGCAATCGGTGATGAGGTTAGGAAAGCTAAAGCAAGCCCTGATAGAAATAAATCTGGTCAGGGATGTCAAAGGCAACAAAAAAAGCTTTTACTGGTATGTGGGTGATAAAAGGAAGACTAGGAAAAATATGGGTCCTCTCTAGAAAGAAACAGGAGCTCTGGTTACCCAGAACATGAAGAAGGCTGAGGTACTCCATGATTCCTGCCTCAGTCTTCACTGCTAAGTGCTCCAGCCACACCACCCAAGTTGCAGAGGCAAACTGGGCTGAAGAGTTTATACAAAATCATGGGTAAGAAAGGAACAAGCTTGATTTAGGCTTGGCTTATCTTGTCAAAAATGAAGCACATTACAACTTTCTAATTCATGTAAGGAATACAAACAAGCCTTTGACAGATGACTTAAGATGATACAAACTTCCTGCTCATTCAGGTAGGTGGGAAGTTTTTAGGCAAGGCCCATGCAGCTTTTTGCCAAATGTGCATAAAAACTACTCAGTAAATCAGCCTCCAGCACACTATTTTTAGGAGGGGAAAAGTTATGCATAATGTGTAGAAATTAAGGTAAATACAGCATGTTGCTTTCCAAACAAATAACAATCACTCCACCAGCAATTCATATAATCAGCGTGTCTGTAACAGGGCACTTCTGTTTAGCATGCCAGAAATGCTCCATGGAAAAAGGAACAATTCCAAGACTTCCCCAGTCAGTACATTACCATTACTGCCTATACAGATCTGTTTAAAAAAAAAAAAAAAAAAAAAAGGAAGAGACAATCTTTGAGGAAGAAGATCCAGTAATTTGATCAGTGTTCAGGCAGCATGTGGGAAGAAGGCAGCAAAAGATGCTTTCTGGAGAGAAACTCAGGGACCTAGCCAGGCATCAGTGAGCAGATGGCTCCATCCTTGCAGTGAAGCTGAGCAGTCATTCTCTTCCTCCTGCTGCTGCAACACTTCACTGTGCACACCACCAAGAGAGATGCTGTACCTAAAGAACCCTCAAGCAGACCATGTCAAGCAGGCAGAAGGTCAAGAATTGTGAAGATGCATCCTTATTTTTATAGTGCCGCAAGAATGTTGTTATATACAAAAATTTTAGAGAAAAAATGTAAGAATAAATGAATTTTTAAAAAGGGTCTTGGGACTGCACCAGTCTCTTCTCACAGTTCTGTTGTAGTTTAACCCCAGCCAGCAGCTCAGCCCCTCAGAGCTGCTCATTCTCATCCCCATAACGGGATGAGGGAGAGAATTGTAAAAATGAGAAAACTCATGGGTTGAGACAAAGACAATTTAATAGGTAAAGCAAAAGCCACACACGAAACAAGGAATCAATTCACCATTTCCCATGTGGAGGCAGGTGTTCCACCACCCCAGGAAGCAGAGCTCCAGCAGGCATAACCATGAGTTGGGAAGACAAATGCCATCACTTTGAATGCTGTCCCATTTCCTTCCTCTTCCCCTAGTTTTATGTGCTGAGCATAGTGCTGTAGGGTATGGAATGTCCCTGTGTTCAGTGAGGGTCAGCTAGTCCAGCAGTGTCTCCTCCCAACTCCTTGTGCAACACTAGCTGCATGGCAGGTGATGGCTTTGCAGAGGAGTAGGACAGGGGAAGTGAGGAGTGGAAGCTACAGCTGTTTTGGCTGGGAAGATGCACATGCACAGTCACACAGCCTGAATGGATCCATGGGGCTGCTGCAGCTGGCAGTCAGACAAGTTCCTTCCTGAGGGGGTGAGGCACTTGGGACATGACCTTCTCCAGTGTTACAGGAGTCAAGAGGGCTGCTGGGTCTGATGATCCTGGATCCCACTCCTTTGCCACTAGCTCTAGTGCATGCATCCTCTTAATTTCCTTGATCGAAGGAGCTAGACAGGGAT